AATCTACACTAAGCCGTAGGATGGTATTCTATATATAACTTGTCCCCCAATGGGACAGCGATAATTCTACGAACTTACAACACTAAAATCCGGTGTTCGGTGTGGACACAGCAAATAGTACAATGTGGCTTTGCTCTAAAATAACCAAACAAACCAAGCCAATCTATAACTTACGCCGTTTATGTCTTCTAAGATTGGAACGAGTTTCAAGAGCTAATATATAAAGCTAACTTGACTTGTGGTTAATTTGTTTCAATAATATAATTTTATTTTCAGTTTCTTATACCAAACGTAAGTTGTGGGTTAAAGAGGTAATTAAAACATCTAACCTATCGATACTAAACAAACAAATATTCAACAATAATGTGGGTTAATCCTAATGTTTTAAACTGCTCCAATATGGATAGATAAATAAATAACTTGTAGGATTTTTCAATATCAAAAACTTGACTTTTTTTGGTGCTTATGCAGACAGTTAAATTTTAACCACTTACTTTCTTTAAATTCTTCAACTCAATAACGACAACATAAATTTTAATTGTACAAAACTTAAAAATATAATAATTTGTCTCAAGCTAATCCTGATCTCGAGTATTTCCTATTTCTGTCACACTTCCTGTACTAACTGAAACTGTACGAGGGATAAAGTGGTAATTTACTCGCTGATATGGTCATAACCTGAAAAAATCTTAACACTAGAACTGTAGCCTCTACTTGTTTTGAATGTTGACTGATTTATTTTCTCGTATTCTGTTTGGTCTTCAAAAGCTACCTTTATTAAATAGGGCTTTTATAAAACTCAATTCATTCACTAAAAAGCCCTTCTGATACAAGATTGTGCCTTGCCTATTGATACCGAACTGATTCTATATCCTAAGTCATTTTTCTCAAAATTTTCACGCTTACATTATTAACCTATCGGCGAAACCAATAATAACCAAGAAGACTTGTCAGGAGAATCATTTCAAAACAACAATATGATATCTTGCTTAAATTGTGTAGCTCTTTGAACATTGTTCACAATTACTACATTTGTTTGAATCATGTAGAGAGAGACTGCTTGTACAGGTTGACTATCACTAATCCGGCATCATCGGGACCTGGAGGGTGCCGGATTAGCCATCTATTAGGTTAGAATACACCAAACCTACTAGCTAACCACCTCATCTTAAAATTAAAATATCCCATAAAACGTGGTTTTCTTTAAGTTTTAATCAAAGAAAATATTGGAAAGAAAACTTTCAAGCTAGACTAAAGTATTTACCTAATAGCGCGTATCTTGCTTTACTGTATTTGAAATTGTTCTAGCCGAAATTAGTGCCGGATTACTGATTGCCGGACTAGTGATGGTCAACCTGTATTAAGTTCTTCCATTGCTCATCAAAATGGTGTAACGCACAATGGCAGGCGTTGAGATTATCAATTTTTCATCTTGTTTCTGACTTGCTTTAGCTTTTCAGAAATTTGGCTTATCATGAATTGCTTTGTGTATATTCTATAGATAACATTTTATTTTATCTTGAAACTATCCATATAGCTGGAGAAGAATACTCTGCCAATTTTGTTTCATAAATCTCAAATTTGTGATTGCTTATTTATTCCAATTTATCACGTGTTTTACAATCATAGTTTGGTGTTTCACATAAAATTCATAACGTGGCTTCACAAAGGCTAAACATCTGGACATCAACCACAGCTTTTGCTTCAAGTATTATTAATAAGACTATTTCGTACGAACGAGTGTTAGCCTCTTTCCTATGTTGATATTTTTTTCTTCACAAGTGTTTTTAACTATTTTTTACCTCACAGCCTATGACTGAAGCCTGAAGCCATAGTCATAAATTATATTTATTGTTATGAACTTAAATTATTTTGCACCATTTCAGTGGCAACTAAAATAAATTAACAAAGTATTGACACTAATATGCATTAAACGAGATGGAGTTTGTTGTTAAGAAAATCTAACTATCTGCAAGAAGAATGAATGCATTTTATTATACTGACAAGAGGGAATCCTCAATAGCCGCGGCACTTAAAATTATTTTAGGCAGAATTAGAGTAAATTAATCTATGAGACTTTTTTTTTATTTTTATTAGCTATATTTTGTGCGCCAGTAATACCAAGCGTGGGCCGTGCGTATACCCTATTCAATGTTATTACTAACCAGGATGTCTACCAGCCTACCCTCAAATTGAAATTATTTTAAGCAGAATTAGAGTAAATTAATCTATGAGACCTTGAACGTGTTAAAATATATCAATCGAAAGGGTTTGACCTCCTGTAATTGGATCTCAAATCGGTCAAGCGGTAACGGAGCTACGAGCTAAAAGTTTGTGCTTTAAAAAACAAAACAAACGAACTCAGAGCGGTTCTATGAGCTTAAAAATGAATTAAATACGTACCCACATATACAACAAAATACAACAACATTGCTATAAGTCCTGATGACGGGTGTAGTTTTAGTTTCAAGTATTTTTGTTGTAAAATAGTTTTTTGTGAAGTTTTAAAAAATTTTTTTGACTCCATGCTAACAAAAGGTATGTCAACGAAACTTGTCACATGTTACTAATTGGTTAGGAATAATAATTTATTGTATATATGAATATGAAAGTATTATTTGAAAGTGAGAATAATTCATACGCTAAATAAGAAAAAGTATTTCAGGAAAATAAAATATAAAATTTTTATTACTTTAGCAATCAAATCAGTCACAAAGTTGCAGTGCGTTTAAAGTGCTTCTGATCTTACGTGTTTTCAATAACTTTAGAAAAATAAAACAAATAGTAAACATTCACTACTTTGATTATCAATATGCTTAAAATCACTGAAGAATAAGATCATTTCATACTGTTAAACAATCTTCTCAGGACTGAATTTACGTTTATTACGTGTCGAAGCTTATGTATTCGGATAGTTTCTTTAAATACGTAAGTAGTGCTCTGATACATTACTCTGTATTGTTTTAATTCTTAATTAAATATAGCATGTATAGTCACTCGTAGTAACTGTCTACGAAGAGTTGGTCAGACATATTCTAAATAAATAAACATAATTTATGTTTTTTAATAGAATTTAGAAATTATTCATCTATCGAATTGATAATGACCAACTACCTAAATATGGAAGAACAAGAACAAATTTGTGTTACATTAAAATACTTTTTCTGAAGAGGAGTATTTACGGTTGACGTGAAAAGGAACATAAAACAATTTTCTTGGACACGTTTGTATATATATTTAAATTTAAACCATTTGAAGCTTTGTACTCTGTTACAGTTTGTGTTTTAGTAGAATGCTCCTGAAGAAACTGTAAAGTGAAACGTCGAGTGTCCAATTAAAGAAAAACAACAATCTGGTTTTCCAGGGTCGTTTATTTCTAGTATTAAAATGTATTCTATACACCAATATGCACTACAGAAATTAAATAAAGATTACACATATCTCGGTGAACAGACGCCAAACGAATCTTCGAAACTTACTTTTACAAATTGTTCATCGTGCTACCAGTGCAGCAGATGTCGATACAGGATAATAGTGAAGAATTTCTGTTAGTTATAATAAAAAGTCATACATCCGAAAAGAAACACGTCTTCCTACAGACCGGTATGTTCACATAAATGTCGGAAGATATGGCCATGACTAAAGCGGTTACAAAAGCCTCAGTAAAAACTCCTCAGGTCAAGCCTTACATAGCCCTATATTTTATTCCAACTTTTCTGGATCTCGTGTAACCCTACTTTTTTTACCAAATGGGTTGGTTGGCTCAGAGGTTCGTTTTTAACTCTGATTTTTATGTTTTAGCAGTCTAAACAAACTGGGTGGATTTCTTTCTATGATTGTTTTTAGATATCCCCGCAACTCTACTCAAGGACTATTTGCGGTAGTCGTCCCTAGTGTTGAACTGATAGGCTAGACAGATTCACCACCAACTCGTGGGCTACTCATACCTGACCAAAAAGTGGGATTTGATTGACTCTCTTATAACTTCACCACGACATCAAAGCGTGAAGCGTAATTTTATTTCTATTTTAGCGGTAACTATTGAGCTATTTTAGACTCAGTTGAATAGAAGCATACTCGGAAAAAAATAGCAAATAGTTGTGATTGTTTTTCTACAGAAACTCCTGAGTGAAAACTAAAACTTCTAATATTTTTGAAAGTTACAATTTATAATAATGGATAATTTATTTTAACTATTTTTCATTGTTGTTGTTTTGTTTTTCTTCTCTATTTAATGAAAGTGATAGTTAAGTTTAAAGCTCTTCACTAGAAACAAATTCAGTTATTACACTTACTCATTTTTAGCGGTAGTACTCATTTCAAATATATTTAATCTAGTTTTACTTATCCTTTAAAGAAAAAAGGCAAAATGTTGAACGTTTTTGAAATTTTGTGTTCCCAAGTATTCCCTTGGTAATATTTGTTGAATAAATGCTAATTCGTTTGTACTGTGTAAAATATCAAAGTTAAACTTTTCAATTTAGAGTCACCATATTTATTAATTTATTGATAATGATACCGTATTTCTGAGTACTGTGTTCCACACGTATAATTGTCAAACAAGTATTTAGCAAGTGTGAGAACTCTTCTTTTGTTTCAAGATGGCACAAACTGCACTGCACAGTGCTCTTGAAGTTAGGGCTAACATACCATAGCTTTAGACTCATAAAAAAGTATTATCATACTTTATTAGACGACTCACGCAAACTTCTGATATCAAATTCACAAAGATTAATTACCATGTACACCAAGTCGAACACACGCTAAAGATAGAATTGAGTCAACTGAATTTAGTTGCTTTTGGTTCACTTTTACGAGTCGTATTTCTTTAGTGACAAATTTAAAATGATAAAATGTCGTTGAAATATTCCTTTAGTTTAATTTACAATATGTGCAACAAAAAGTAATACGTGCTTGTGTACACGTCACCGTTTCTTTTCAGATTTATGAAAGTTGAGACTAGTCATAATTAATAAAGCATCTTTGTTTCTCCATATTAGGTCAGTAAGAGAAGAAACGAAATCGACAGTAGACATGAGAGTAGGGATTCACACAGGTGGCGTCTTAGCTGGAGTGCTAGGTCAGCGCCAATGGCAGTTTGACGTTTACAGTCGAGATGTAGAGCTCGCCAATAAAATGGAGAGTGGCGGACTTCCTGGGTGTGTAGAAAGATTAAAATAACAAACAACTTCTCAACAAATAAAAATAAAATACAGATATATATAAATAATATTTTCAGTACAAAATTCAGATTAATATTTAATGTTATATGGCCGAGTGAGATCACTTAAATATAATATGTCAGGGTGAGATTACTTAAATATTGTATGACTGACTGAGAATTAATCTCACCATGACATATAATAATTAAGTAATAAATATTATATGTACGGATGAGATCACTTAAATGTTATATGACCGAGTGAAATTATTTAAATGTTATATGATCAAGAGAGATTACATGAATACAAAACATTCTCAAAGCTGCAACTTACGATATTTCAAAGGAAAGAGTTAATTATTATTTTTTAATCTCAACAGATTAGAAGTCAGCATAGCAAAGTATGTCTTACAGTGTGAATTGATAAATACATACCCCCCCAAAAAAATCAATATGTTTTCACAAATATACAGATAGATGCATACCTTAAAGATGATTATGCAAGTCACCACTCTTTACAACACAATGCTTATTACTTATTGTAGTTTTTGTGTTCACTAGTAGAGGGTACAACATTCACAATGCGATGGCCTGCTTACCATAAATTGTACAGATTTGCCTGAGGAATTCTCTACCATCCCTCTGCCAATATCACTTTTAACTTCTGAAAAATCCTTTGAGGGTACTTCACTGGTCAGTTCCAGTATTATCCAAGCATGTAGGATTGAGATCTGGTGGCATCGATGGCTATAACAAACATTCGATACCTTCGTTATTCAGGGATGTGTTCGCAGCTGCTACACAATAGGATCAGCTACAATCGTCCATTAGAAAGATCCAAGGACAAATCCCCTGCACGAGTGTACTGTGTAATCAACCCTGGTGAAGAAGAGATCAGTCCGTGGTCTAGTAGCGATTTCTGCAAACTTACGCGCAGCTCTATTTCTGTTGATTTCTTCACATGACACATGATTTTGGTAAGCATCTTATACGCAAACGACTTTGAGCGAGATGCAACCCTATCATTGCATGCTCTCGAAGTCTGATGGGCGTTACATTACTCTAGACTAGTTTTGTGAAAGGCATCGTAAAGACATCTAGAGAAATCCTACTTTGTGGGATTACTTATCAATTATCTGAGAAGCTATTATCAGTAACTTTGATCAGAACAAACTGCCAAGATAAGTGAAGTACTGGGTTAACATTTATTTTTAATTTTGCTAATGCCCCCCAGTGGCACAGCGGTATGTCTGCGGACTTACAACGCTAGAATCCGGGTTTCGATACCCGTGGTGGGCAGAGCACAGATAGCCCATTGTGTAGCTTTGTGCTTAATTACAAACAAACAAACAAACAATTTTGCTAATTAAATATACCGCTCAAACTAGAGATATACAATGTCATAAAATAAAAACTCGTAATAATTATAATACATTGATTCATCGGTTGAATACTCTCTCTGTTAAAAGATTTATTGAGAATAATTTCTTACAATATTCAGCCACCTTAGGAAATTTAGATTAGTCTTAAGTCCATATATTAAAATAACATTGCAAATAATCCTTATAATAAAGTTATATATATATACACACACGTGAAAATGACAATATGCACATGTTCCCATACTATCTGTATACAGAGGATTGAACATATTATATTAAAGTGGTTTTGAATGTGCAAAAAAGAAAGTCACATGACACCTACAACTGGTATAATGTCGCGGTAGAATGACATGTATCACAACTACATTTTGACAATTCATAGGTAATGTGATGCCACCAAAAATTGATCGCTTTTGGTAAGAGTATATAACAGCTTTTTCCACCATTATATTCATACACTCGCGGTATGTCTACGGACTTACAACGCTAAAAACTGGGTTTCGATACCCGTGGTGGGCAGGGCACAGATGGCCAATTGTGTACTTTTGTGCTTAATTACAAAACAATAACATGTACACTCAGGTCATAAAGGTGTGTTCGGATCTGGGATTTAGAATTTCCAAGGCGGGGAGATTCCTTGTACTTAATACTAAATGGCATTAGAAAATATAGGGATATGGATCAACTTGGGGTACCAGGACCATTCAGAAAAAAACCTACAACAACTCGTACCCCTTGCTATTCAAATTGTGGCATCTTATAACAGGTGAGAATCCACAAAACATAGGTCCGTGACAAAAGCTATTCACGTAGTCAAGGCAACAGAACACAACTTATTCAAGAAGAATCTCCGCCTGGAAAATATATGTGTCATACATATAAAAATCGCTTCCACGACATATCTGTTCAGCCATGAATTATCTAAAGCAGCTGAAGAATGAAACGGTATTCATGCTGCTCCATATAAATACATACCAGATGCAGTGACTATGAAGTTCTGTGCAATTTACTCTTGAGGTAGATCTAGGGAAACAGTTGTCCTCATACACTAAATGGATTGTGGAAAACAAGCAGAGAAGAGTAGTGTACTTTGAGCATGATAGTCTCCAACGGAGCCTTTTTCAATGGAAACTATAATTCCAAGCCATGGTTGTCAGGTAGGATAAGACTGGACGTGGTGACATGGACTTTAACGACGTGACGAGGCTCCAAAATCATTTTAATATAAAGTACTCACTTCTGTAGTGTATAAACGGGTGTTCTGCTGTACATTTGTTTGTCTTCTATAATCACATGGCTTTTTTTCAACATAGTTTAAAATGATATCTGTGAAGGCTGCTAGCCATTCTATTATCATGGTAATCACTAGAATGTTTGCAATGCTGACATGTTTATTTTTGTATGTGAGTATCTATCTATGCTAAAATGTATAAATGAGAAATAAATAGTTTATATTTGTTGTTCAAATATCAGATGCACCTTCTATGGATATTATGTAGCGTTACTATTTTCTTTAGTTTTATATTTTGGATTTTAAAAGCTGGTTTCTGTTCCATATTATAGTATATCTAGCAGTAGTGAAAATACTCATTACCCAACATGTGAGAAAAGATTGAACTGTGTCACTCCTTTTTGGCTAATGTTAATGTGAGTCTACACTATACAAGACAACATTTATTTAACTATATACAGTATATTGTATTTTTAAATCATTTGAGGTTAGTATCTAACTCATGTGGTTGATTGTTTATACTTAGTATATTTTTCTAAAGGATATGTTTGAATTGCTTCTGCATTCTGCACTTTCAAAATAGCAGAAGATGGTTCGGCAATGAGTCATTCTGATTCCGGTTTCTTGTAGTGTAAAGAATTGTTAATTTGTAAAGGAATTTTTCTTACAATTCTGATACTTTTTGGACATTAATTCTTTGTTTTACTCTTCTGTCTGGCTGTAATACATTTAGTTTAAATTTGTTTGTCGTTTAAGCGCAAAGCTGCATAAGGGGCTATAGTTGAAACTTTACAAAATTTACTATTTAGAGGAACTACTGGATTGCATTTTTGCACAGAAAGAGTAACCTAGATTTGTTTCGTATGAGATACCTACCTTGTTTATATGCATACATATCAATAATGCTGCATTAGCACTTATCACAGTTTTTACTAAATTTCACCTTATCAACTCTTTTTGTACATATGTATTCATATCTCTAGACGTGTACATATATCAGAGAAGACCCTCAGCTTCTTGAACGATGAGTTTGATGTTATTCCTGGTGATGGAGCTTTCAGGGAAGAAACCATAAGATTAGCAGGAATCAAGACATACTTCATTGTAGGAGTACTAAAACCTGTAAGGAAACCTTTAATATATTTTAAAGTATCCAAAAATTGAAACACGGTGCTAATTTATTTAGAAATCAAAATTTAGTAGCTCTACAAGTAATTCTTTAGCAAATAGTCTTAATGCGGTTACTGAAATTTAGCTCATTTCCTTATCAAATATAAATATATGATAGGTAATGACCAAATTATCAAATAAAACTATTTAAATAGGAAACGCTGATAAGTTTAACTTGTATCTCATTCATTATAGATCAAATGTCTGTACAAATTCCTACGATGTTTGGTTTTACTATTTTATGACTATAAAGTGTTAATATCCGCTGTTTAGCCGAACAGTTAGTGTATATGAATTTTCATTATTATGTTATTATATTTTTGCTTCTATGTGACTAGTGTGTTTTAGCGCAAAGTTATACAATGGGCTATCTGCGTTTTGTCCATCGCGGGGAATCTAATACCAGATTCTACTGTTGTAATTCCGTAAAATTACCGCTGACCAATCGAGGACATGAACTAAGGTCAAAGACCAGAAATGCTGAAAAAATACAGTATGTTATTTTAGTAGGCTTGCTTTCCTATGATGTTTCATTTTGTCTTTCAAATATTGAATAGCTAGTGAACGTTTCAATATTTAAATTGTTAATAAAATTTGTACCTACTTTCTTTGGTACACCGAGGACTATACTCAACGGTTTTTGTTTTAATAGTAGCAATGATGAGATGTGACAAGCACTTAAGTTACATATATGGGTAGGGGACAGACCTATCTAGTTAAATCAGCAGTATGGTATTGACACCATCAGGATGATTATCCCTAGTTAAAGGCATTATAACACGTGATTGCTCCATGTCTTTGTTAAACTCCTGTTGATAGCTTCCATGGCATGTTTATGAATGGTTGTAAAGTAAGTGATCTATGTTGTTTTGCTAATTAGGTTGAAAATTGTAAGAAAATGATCTGTAACAAAGCATCACAAGTGATGGACAGCGTTAAAGTTCGTTGTTATTGGTCGAACCGTCCACTACAATTAGTCTTACATAGTAAGATCATGCAATTTGTTATTTCAAGCTACATCTTACATACTAAAAGTCGCTGATTATCTCAAAGGTCGTCATATATATAATAAATGTTGTTTATTATCTCAAAGTAAATAATACGTAATAATAACTTTTTATTATTGCAAAATTCATCCTACGCAATAAAAGCTGTAGATTTCCCAAAATACATTATACGTAATTAACTGTTGTTTATTATACAAATATTCATAATATATAATAAAGCTATTGATTATATCAAAGTACATTATACATAATAAAAGTTGTTTATTATCTCCCAGTTCATCATACGTAATAAAAGCTGTTTATATCCCAAAGTACATTATACATAATAAAAGCAATTAATTCTCCCACAGTTCATCATACACAATAAAAGTTGTTTATTGTCCCAAAGTACATTATACATAATAAAAGCAATTTATTCTCTCACAGTTCATCATACACAATAAAAGTTGTTTATTGTCCCAAAGTACATTATACATAATAAAAGCAATTTATTCTCCCACAGTTCATCATACACAATAAAAGTTGTTTATTATCCCAAGTACATTATACATAATAAAGCAATTTATTCTCCCACAGTTCATCATACACTAAATAAAGTTGTTTATTAATCCCAAGACTATTATACATAAGTAA